CAACGCGCCGAGCCTCTTCTTCTCTTGAAATATTCGGAAATGATTAACCGCAAGTACGTGCGCTCGTTAAGGGAAATGGTCGCGATTTCTGGGGTGAGCGCCCTATATTTCAAGTAGGATTCAGCAGCAACAACAAGCCAGGGTCATGGCCTGAATTGACGTCACTCAGGAAGCAGCGATCGCAATCCAAGTAAGCCAAGACTCATACGGGGGCTGGAAAGCATTCATAATGCATAATTAATAATCCTTTGTGACAAGGATCAGGTTGGTGTGCCTGAGTTTCAGCTTGACCGATTTACCCTGGACTGCTCACCTGCGCGCCCTAGAAGTACAGACAATGAAGCGCCATTGTTGACTGCTGCCCGTGCCGTGTCCCGGTAAGGCGCTTCTCGGTCAGGATAATGATTGGCAGCTCTATTCCCAGTTGTCGGGGGAGGGTGTCATAGTTGGTGAGCTGACATATCAAGTGCGCATCTCGCCGACTTCGGACACTCTCAGAGTTTAGCCAGAGTAAGCAAACTCAAGCTAGCAGTATGCATGCTCAATTGACACCCTGGGAAATTCTGCACGCAAATTGAAGGCAAAAGACGACGAGAATATATGTTGAAAGGCATCAACTACAGCCGATGAATGCCGCTGTTGCCCGCAGCCGCCGTCAACCGATCGATCGCGCGACTATTATGTTAAATTTATGTTAAAGAAACTGGAAAAGAAAAAATTTAACCCAGCAAGCTCCCTTCCAAATTTGTCCCTGTTAATAATTCAGTGGGACAGTGGAGAGAGTGATCGAAGGGTGGATCGATCACTGCCAGGGGAACTCGCTTGCGGCTGTCCAACAACCAACCTACTGTCTTGTACCATAGCCCGAAATACGGTTAATTCGTCTGTATGGATGCGGCTACTCGTGAGTGAGTCATACTGTTTGCGTTTGCTGGATTTCTAATAGTGAATTGCGCTTGTGACGGGGCTGAAAGACTAACTGGCGGCTGTGGATGGCTGGTCTTGAGCGTGTCCCTCAATGGATTGATTGACCTGCAAGGCGCGATGGACGATGTCAAAGTGGATATTTTCGATGGATATTTTAGATCTCGTGTCAATTTTTTTTCTCCTGTCTCCTTCCGGCTTCCGTATGCAGCAGTCAGTCCACCGTAGAAAACTCGGCAATGCATGGAATTAATCGCATGCCTGCTCTCGCCAGGGCAGACATGGGCGAGAAGAGAGATCCCTACTTGGTGATGAAAACGAGAAACGAGCCTAAGCGTGAGCGTAGGGAGCTAGACGCCACGAACTGCCTGGAAGACGTGCTGCTGCTGTGCTGTATTAATAAGACGACGAGTATTTCTCATCACCCAATCAATGTAGACGCGCCCTTCGGCTCGACTCGAAGCCACATGAGGGAAAGCACCCCTTGCAAGGCGTGCTCGACCGCTGGAATCGGCGTGAGTTTTAGTCATTGACGAGCTGGCTGCATGTAGATCACGCCCTGCAGGGTCACCCTCCCTGCCACGGGCCGGTGTGAGTGGAGATGTGATGACTGGACTCGATCAAGGAGCATTGGTCATCTGGCTCGCCAGGGTGGAGAAGAAAAGCTCCTGTTTACTGCCGAGACACTGCGTGTGTGTGCAGTGGTGGAACCTTCGATCCCCCACGGGTTGCTCTTGGTCGACATCATATAAGACATGGGGGTCTCTGGGGAAGAAGGGCATCCGATCCCTTTATCAGGTGTCACAGTAGCTTTCCAGCCGTTTTCTCTAGAGCTTCTCGAGAAACAAACCTCCGGATTTGATCGACATAACACACACGCAAGCACCGAAGCTCTACCCAGGGCGAACCATAGCTTCTTCTCTTCACCATGTCGGCCACCGTGAAGACCAATTCGCCTCGACTGCTCACTGTGAGCGTCGACATTGACAATCACTACAAGTCGAAGATCTACACAACCGCCTCCAAAGTCTCTGGCAATGTCATCATCCGCGCCCAGCAGGACGTCGCTTTTACCGATGTCGATATCCAATTCCTGGGCATCGCCTCGTCTCGCCTCGACTTCGTCAGCCACTACCTGTCACACTCTATCCGCACATTCTTGAACCTTCCCATGCCGGTTCCTGAGGATGATCTCCCGAGCCCCCGCATCTTCCAAGCGAACCGAACCTACGTGATCCCCTTTGAGTTCGTGGTCCCCTCCCAGCTCACACTTCACGCATGCACCCACCATACCGACAGCCCAGATGTCAAGGACCGCCATCTGCAGCTCCCGCCCTCCGTCAACACCTGGGAGGCAGATGATCTGAGCCCAGATCCCACCCATATTGAGTATCTCGTAAAGGCCAAAATCACACAGAAGGGCGAAAAGGAACCCTATGAAGCCAGCCAGTCCATCAACATCCTCCCGGCCTTCCCCGAAGAGCCTCCCGTCCACATCACAGAGGGCGATATCCACTACTGCCCGTCTAAGGAGAAACCTGTCCGTAAGAACTTCTTCACAAGCAATCTGGGTACTCTCCGCGTATCTGCACGCCAGCCCCGCGCCATCATGCTTGCCGCTGACGGACGCACCTCGTCTGCCTCTTCCGCACACGTGGAGCTTGAGTTCTACCCATCCAAGAACTCCCAGACAAAGCCACCCGAGATCCATTCCGTGAGCGGGAAGCTCGTAGCTGAGAGTTGGTGGGGCGGTTCTATCCAGGCTGGGCTCCCAAACATGGGCAAGCGATGCGTCACCCATTTCCCCATCTACAGCAAGGCAGTTCCTCTCTTCAGCCGCCGCACTGGCAAGCTGTCTTGGTCGGGGTATGAGTCGGGTCCGCAAAGGAGGACATCGGAGAGCAGCAATTCCTCAGTCGATTCCTTCACCATGGGGCTCGGGTCTGATTCCCTCAGCCCTAGCGAGGAATCGACCCCGTGCAGCAGCAGGAGGAACAGCTGCTTTGTCGCGGAGCAGCCCGCTTACCGTGCCAAGATCAACGCGCCATTCTCGCTTCCCATGTCGAATAAGAAGGTCTTCCTGCCGTCCTTTTACACCTGCAACCTGTCCCGAACATACAGCCTTGAATTGACCATCGTTACTGGGTCCGCTAAGCGATCATCCACTACGTTATGCCTCCCTCTCCAAATTGGAGTCGAGCCCTCTGCCGCCGCCTTGAGTGCCCTTCAGGCGGACGAGCTTCCCAGCTTCGAGACTGCGCTGCTGGTGGGCGATTCATTGGGTGATTCATTGGCTGCTTCGGCCGTGGAGGAGTCTCAGCGCAGGGCATCCTTGCCCAGCTATGGCGACCGAGTCCATCGATTCCAATAATGTTTATCACTTCTCTTTTTCTTATTTGGCCGCAAGACGATGAAGCGGCACTTGAATATTATCTAGCAGGATATGCGACGGAGGAATGGCGGCATGGATTGATTTTCGCATTGAACAAGATACCCAAAAGTAGAAGTTATGTCAACAGCGACCTCGTGGATCACTTTGAACGCAACATAAAGATGTACATAGAAACATAATCATAATTGATCGATAATAAACATAAAAATAATCACAAACGTTGGAACGGACAACACAGTAACGGTGATGCTACCGGCCTCCTAATCAAAAAAAAATGTCATTAAGATATAGAAACCAGACGTCTTCGCTTGCTAAGATCGCTTGCAGAGATGGACTTGATCTGCGCACGAACTTAAAGGGCGTGTCTTATTCGCATTGACAGCATTTGCGGACATTGCGAGGGAGAAGGCGCTGCTTTCCATACAACGAATGCGGAATCACCTACTTCACGAAGATCGTTTACGGAAACCTGTCGGTGAGACAGTGGACGCAAAAGCCTCCCTAAACATGAAAAACTGAGTAACAACAAGCACGAAGATGATGCCCTGTGTATCGCTTGCTCAGACTCAGGGGCACGGATGATGTTCAGGCACACGGGCTTGGCGAATCGCACTGGTTTTGGTAGCATTTTCTGCGACCGTAATTCCGGTCCAATCCTCTGCATGCATTTCTGTTTCACGCTCAATTACTCAATGATGGGAACTAAGTCTTCCTCCCTTCCTTGGAATAGGTTAGGCATGATGACAGTGTGGGCTTGAGTTTGGGCACATTCCAGAAGACGCGCCCGGAGTCAAGGAAGAACATACGACATTCCGTAGCATCTTTCACTTTTAAGACAAGTGAACGCCACTTCATAAGACTCACGAGGAAAATGACAGAACTTCATGAAACATGAGCTTTTGGTCGGAATCGTCCGACTCAGTTCCCATTATGGAAATGCGCAAAAGTTCGTCCCCGGTTCTGTCCCAACTGCTCCAGTCGAGCGAGTACAGCGACTTCACTCTGGTTTGCCAGGGACAAGAATTTCATTTACACAAAAATGTCGTCTGCGTTCAATCGCCGATGATTAATGCGGCGCTGCGGGGGGACTTCAAGGTGAGAATCCCCCAAGACACGCCAGCATGCTCTCCTCTGGCTCTGGCAGAGGATTGTCTAATGATAATCTGCCGCGCAGGAATCCAAGACAAACAGAGTAAATGCCGACCAGTTTGATCCATTGATCATGCAATGTGTGGTCGACTTTTGGTACAAGGAGAACTACAGACCCCATAGACCTACGACGGTAAAGAAGGAGCCTCGACGTACAGAGAAACAAACTGACCCAGCGAAGAGCGAAGTCAAGAAGTCGAAGAAAAATCCGTCTGTACCAAAGATCGAGATAGAGTCGTATCTTCACCATGTCCGTGTCAACGCCGCTGCTGATTATTATCAAGTCACCAAGCTCAAGGAGCTCTCCAGAGCTAAATTGCAACACTTACTCCGGAGCCATTGGCACCTCGAGATGTTTCCTACTCTAGTCCAAACCATCCATGGAATGACGGGCGACGAAGAAGTATACAACTTGCTGGCCCTTTTCGCCGTCAGACACATGAACGAGATCACGGAGTTGCCGGAAGTCGCCGAGTTGGACTGGGGCAGCGAATTCACTTTGCGTGTTCTGCGCTGCTGCGGGAGGAACATGAGCCTACTGAGCTCTGGCCTTCGGAAGAGCCATGACGACTGTGCCAGACAGGCGCAGATTCTGGACAACATCGATAGGTGTAAGCAGACCATGGAGAAACTCACGAATTGCCCAAACTGCGACAGGGAATTTCTGAGCATGCTGGAGAAGACAAACTGTGGCCACGCTTATCACGTTCGATGTCGCGGCTGTCGAGATCTTCTTCCAAATTAGCATCACCGGTGTAACCATGACCATTGTGTGAGATGAAGAAAACAACCATTATCATATATTAATACCCCGAATACTTAATCAATTTACATTAAAACATTTTACATAACCCATCTCTCTTAGGAGAAAATACTTGCTTTAAGCTTTTCCTTTTCTCCTACACTTGTGTTCTCGCACATGCCACGGAAGATACCCTCCTTTTCCCACAACTCTCGCGGAGTGCCAAATTCTGCCATACGTCCCTTGTCAAGAACCAGAATTTTGTCAAAGTCCGCGACCGTACCCAGACGGTGAGCGATAACAAGGAGTGTGCTATCGCCGAATCCCTGACGGATGCTCTGCTGGATGAGAGTGTCGGTGGCCGCATCCACAGCCGAAGTGGCCTCGTCAAGCACGATGATTTTGGGGCGGTTGACGATGGCCCGGGCGATGCAGAGAAGCTGTCTCTGGCCCTGGGAGAGGTTCCCGCCAGATTCAGAGATGGGGCTGGACAGGTCGTGGAAGATATTTACGTTCTTATAGGCGGATGCAATTGAGGCTCCGTATTCAATCAAGTCGCTATCTACGAGTTGTACTTTGATGAGAGCATCAAACAGCGCCTCATCAGTGTGGTGGCCAAATGGATCCAGGTTTGACCGAACGGTCCCTGAGAATAGGACAGGGTCCTACATCACAAGAGTTAGCATGGCATCTAACAATGAGTGTAAATGGGAAATACTTACCTGAGGGATGATGGAAAGCCTTGATCTCAACGTTTGAACTGCAATCTTGGAGATATCCAAGCCGTCCACGATAATGCTCCCCGCTCGTGTGTCCAAGAACCGGAATAGCGCCAAGGTCAGGGATGATTTGCCAGCTCCCGTTCTCCCAACGACACCTACACGCTCATTGTGGGCAACAGAGAACGTCAAGTTGCTTAGAACGCTGGGTAGGTCAGCGGCATAGGCCACTTCTAAGCCGGAAAACTCCATGTTACCGGACCGTGGCCACGCGGCTGGAGGTTCGTAGCCGCTGAGGTCTTCAGTGTCCAGCTCCATGTACTCGGTAGCTCGCTCCATTGCGTTCATGTCAAGTTCCATATCGCCATAGTATCGAATCGCGTATCGGATGCTTTCTGAAAAGTCCAGAATGAAGGACAGCGCGAAGCCTGCGAGTGCTGCGTCAATGGAGTGGTTGAAGACAATCACTAGCCCAACAGCAATGCAGAAAACGGCGGCAATTAGGGCCATGCGGAAACTCATCCATCTGTTAGCAAGGGCGAGGTAGAATGAGGTCATGACCCATTTGTCGAGGTTGTTCTGCATCTGGGTTAGATAGCTCTGGCTGCGTTGGAAAGCCCTGATGGTGGAAATTCCTGTAAGGGTGGTGTTGAAGAGTTCGAATACGGGCGACTTGGCGTTACTCTCAAGCCGTTTGAGAGGTCGACTGGCAGTCAAATATCTCCCTCCAGTTATGGCGCCGATTCCTACCAGAACCAAGGCCGGGAGGATGAGACTTCTAGAGGCAAAGAGAGTAGCCACGCAGACACCGATCAGTCGGAGGGCGCTCATATAGAACAAACCCCAGCTCATCATGAGGCGCTCGTCGATGGTATGCATATCAGCCGTGAAACGGTTGATCACCCTTCCTATTGGAACGGTGTCGAGCCATCGCAGAGGAGCACGCAACACCCTGAAAAGCATTCTGTCGAAGATGGCCTTGCTGCCCTTGATCGCAATGGCATACGCTAGGAAAAATCGAAGCAGAGCGAGAATTGAAGCGGCAACAGATATCGATAAATAAATGGAGAGATAATACGACACTTTGTCATCAACAGCAAGCTCACTTAGTCTTTGAGGGCTCGTTTGCTGTTGCATGAAGTCGAGGGCGCCGAGAATGTTACCATTTTGATGGATCGTCTGGCTTGATGTAGCAGCCGTCCAAATACGAAGCCACCATCCACGAGCTATTGATATGTTAGCATGAATCTACGAATATAATCGAAAGAAGGATATCATGGACTCACCGACAATACTGATCTCATGTGAAAAGAACACGCCAGCCCATACAAACCACATGATCATCCCACCACAGCTCTTGAGGTATGTCAAGTAAATACGCGACTTCACTGTTCCCTTCTCGCGAACTTCCTCCTGGAAGAACTTCTTTGAGTCTTCTGGAGGGATTGAAGGAGAAGGTGTTGCCGGTTCATCCTCCAAGTTGCCAAGAACAGAACCTTCTCCTATAACAGTAGCACTGGGACTATAGCTATCCTCACTATCCGATGACGAAGCACTTGATATAAGTGGCTCATGAGGAGGTCCTGCATACTTAACTCTGCCGTCTGAAAGTTCAACAATATAGCTCGCTGCAGAGAGAACTAGTCCAGAGGCGTGGGTGACCAGTATGCGAGTTCGGCTTTGGCAGAGAGGCCCAGTTAGGCATTTGTCGAGGATCCAACGACCAACATGGGTATCGACGGCAGAAAAGACATCATCCATAATCAAGATGTCTGCCCTTGAGTAAATAGCACGAGCGAGTGTTACGCGCCACTTTTGCCCACCACTGAGGTTGACTCCATTGGCACCAAGCTCGGTGCTATCGCCATCTGGCAGAATGGTCAGGTCATCGCGCAAAGCACATGCTACGATCACAGCGTCATATCTGCTCTTGAGGAAAGGAAGACCAAAAAGGACATTGTCGCGGAGAGAACCATTTTCAAGCCATGGGTTCTGGCCAATGTATGCTACAGACCCAGGAATAACCCAGCTATCATATTGGTGATACTCATCTTCCTCACAGGCCGTACCTGGCCTTTTCGGAACGTTAATGAACCCTTCAATGAGGTCTGCCTCTCCGATCAAGGCAGAGATGAGCAGACTTTTCCCAGAGCCTGTCTTGCCAGAAATGATGGAGAGCTCGCCCGTAAGGAACGACAGGTTGAGTTCAGAAAGAGTGAAGCGATCCTCTGAAGTTATGCGTTGCTCGGTTGGCCATGAAATCATAGCTCGTTCAAAGCCTACAGTGTGGCTGTTGGTCAAGATATCCCGTCTTTCAGGTCCATTGAGATATGCTCCAAGCCGTTTTGCGGAGACGAAGGACTCAATACCCAGAGTGATGAGCTCAGGGAGGGCGACGAGGGTTATCTCGAGGCTGTTGAAAACTCCAATGCTGACGAAAGCCACCGAAGGGGTCAATCGGCCGTTGATGAAGACGTAAACCGTGAGGCAGGTTGCAGCCAGTAAGATGGGACTGACAGCCCAGCAACCGAACACGGCGCTGTCGGCGAGGAAATACCTCCACAGTGCCCGGAGTTCTGCTTGCCTGGCAGCAGATATTCTCTGCTCCCACTCGGCTTCCAACGCGGAGAACTTAATCTGGCGCATCCCCAGGAGCGCCTCGCTGACTTTGGAAAGCTTCCTGTCGCGAAGCTTCATGAGCGAATCAGACTCCTCAAGGACCTTCTTGGAGAACCAGGCATTAGCAGGTAACGTCAGCAGCCAGGCCAGCATTCCAGCGATGAACGGTATCCAGCCTATGAGACGGACAAGAAACACGGAGAACAATGCGAGCTTGACCACCCCGTTGATGATTAGAAAGTGAAACTGTAGAAACTGTGATATGCGATTTAGGTCGACGCCCACAAGGTTCACAATGGCCTGACGAGATTTGAGAACAGTTTCTTTGTCCGTCGCGTCAGTTTCCTCGGCTTGAGGCTTGCTCTCACGCTCGCTCCTATCTTCTGCCTCTTTGGTAGCTGTCTTGACATCTTTACGGCGCAATGACTTGTCGAAAACGAGACTTGCCATCTGGGACCTAATGGGCAAGGAGAGGTCGGCAACTGAGTACCAGTATGCCCAGCCGTCCATCCACTGGCAAAGAAAGTAAGCAAAGTGAATACAAGTATTACTTCAAAAGGGAGATAGACGTACCGCATCGAGAAGGTTGGTGAATGTCATGATGCCTACCAGAAGTAGCAACCTAATAATATACGAGCTTCTATTCTCGTCGCTCTCCAGAAGGGTGATGATGCTGAGCATAGACCAATACGGCAGAATGCTCATCGCGCCCTTGAGACTCGAAATTGTCCATAGCAAGGCGATCTTCCCCTTGTGTGCCCAGATAATTGATTCAAAGAGAGAGGTGGACTGGAATCCAAAGCGAATCCAACTATTCTGAAGCTCTGAAGCTCTCAAGCTATGATTGGGTCCTGGTACGTCTGCATAGTCAAGATCACCCTTGGCGATGGCAAGGCGCAAGAGCGGCTCAACCCAGGACCAGCTATATTTGCTAATAAAAGACACAGTAGACTGTCTGTCGACTTTGCAGCCATTATGCAGCACGTCGGGCCTCCTTGGAAGCATAACACTGAGAAGACACACAACACATGAAGCGACGATGTTCACCGCGTCTAGCATTGCCAGCGGATTTACATGGCCGTGGGGTTTGGGCGATAACTGCATCAATCTTGCGATTGAGGAGGCCATCAATGACAAAGCTGACACCCAGAGCCATATCCCCAGTATATGAGATTTGACGGAGGAATGATGAGCGGCGATACAGACGCCATGTAAGAAGATGGAAGCCTGAAGATGACATCGTATTAGTACCAATCACAAGAGTAGAAATCAGCGATGAAGATAACGTACCCAAGCACCAATAACGAAGCCATATTCAAGAAGCCATTGATTGCCCTGCTCAATGAAGGACGAGCGCACCAAAATGGCAGTCGAAGAGCCAACACCACAAAGGGAGAAGAAGACGATGGCAGCTTTAACCCCCCGATTAGAGAAGCGAGCCAATGCCTCTGGGGTAGCGGTTCCATCAGCATCTTCGTAGAACCGATTGCGAGGCTTTCCCTCCCGCAACTGGACGATGAGTGCCGTGGCGGCGGGAAGGGCTGATAGCACCGAGACGGCAAAGGCCGCAATGGTCAGACCAAGATGATCCATGATGTCTGACGAATGCCTACAATTAGGACTGGAGAATGGAAGACCTCGCCTCAATCCTCATTCAAGAGGAGAGTGACATGAGGTGAGATTGCTGATAAAGACCGGGAGGGATTCCGGGACAGGAGGGCCTCGATCGCAGCCAGTTTCTTCCACTGAGCACACCGGGTCTGCGCTCTAAGACAAGTGATGGTACGCACAAGCTTCAGCTAGGAAGCGCTGAGACCAAAAAAAAAGAAAGGCAAATAGTAAGACAAAAAAGGCCGATATTTGCCTCTGCCGTCGTCCATCCCGGTCCTCCGTTGCATGGTACTCCCCTTGTACTGGTGCGGTCACCGCAGTACGCGATGCGCTGTCTCACTCTTCGATTCGGCAAGTGATGCACCACCTAAATGAGGCTTGCAGTAGTCTCCTCTTGGCCAATATCTCAGCCCAATGTCGTGCCAGGGTTCAGCCAGCCCCCGGCATCCGGTGGTGGGTTTGATGCTGAGCAAAGCTGCAGGCCTCATGTATGGTTCAGGCTGCCCCAAAACAAAGCAGGGAAGCATATGTATATGGTCTTGCATGGCTCCAAAGATACCTGATCCTACGCATGCATGTTCCACTCTTTTTATTGATTCCAGCGCCGATCCGGTGATGGATCCTCCTCTGCCGATGCTCATCCATAAAGGGGGTGCTATGATCTACGACTTGCATACGCGAGTAGTGCATCATTTGGCCCTCAGAGCTCGGTACTTTATTGTCTACAATACGTATCTTATGCGTTACTAGTGTAAATAGTGGACCGGGTGCATACAGTGATCAGCAATCCATCTACGGAGCTACCAAGCCAGTTCCCATCTAGTCCTGTCGAATTACCGAGCAGATCCAGGCTCCTCCGCAGCTGACGGCTACGATCCTGTTCCCGCTTGATCTCCAGGTGCCCAAACCAAGGAGCCGGCCATTGGAGGCGTGCCAAGTCCCGACCAAGGGGTAGCTCACCATGTCCCCTGAAGCCTTGAGTATGACATCGTACACGCGTGGAACAATCTTCCGTTGGATGACACACGAAATACCTGGCACAATTTTGGGGGACCGTAGCCTCTCCAGGGAAGTCACCCATTGCTCATTGTCGAAATCATCACCAAAGACAATTCCCGCCCCCTTGCCACCGCGGATTGGCTTGAGTATGTACTCGTGCCTGAGCTCTGGGGCTTCCTTGCAAGCATGAATGAGCTCCTCCAGCTCCTCCGAGCCCGGAAGCAGGGTGTTGGTGATGCCCCGAGCCAGCGCGTCTCCCTGTTGGGCGGTGAGCACGTGGCGAGCCACCAGGCGAGGGATCTCCTGTCTCACGATCCCCAGCATACGCTTGTCGTGGACAAGGAGGATGGTCCGCATGTCATTGAAGCATCGCAGACTGATCTCTCGCAGGACCTCGGGCTGCATGGCGGCAAACTCGCGCTGGTGCAACTCGAGTCCAACCTGCTGGATCTCCTCCACAAGCTCCCCGTCACTGGTGGTGAGCAAGGCCGCCTGGTTCGAAAAGGTGACGTCGTCTCCGGAGCCCTTGTACAAGCAGCAAAGGCGATGCCCGCTCTTGGCTTGCGGATCGGGCAAAAGCCTGAGCTCGGCTGGGGTGATGAGGCGTGGTTTGATGCCAAACCGGCGCTGGACAGCATCGACGAACATGTGGATGTCGATGCCATTCTCCTCTCCCTTGAGCAGATGCAGCGGAAGAGTGGGATTGAACAGGCTAAAGAGTCCGTCCACGATCTAGATGCCAATTAATTAGTCTCTCGTCACATTCCCAACTTTATCGATCGAGGAGTCTCACCATCTCCGGGTCAGTTGCACTAACTAACCCTAGCTCCCGCGCTCCAGCGTCGCTCAAGGCCTTGTTGACGGCATGCTGGCCGTATGCCTCGTGCATGAAGCCATTGAAGGAGAAGCGGGCGTTGATCTCCGTGACGCGGAAGTTTTCCACAATGGAGCCAGTCTGGCTGCAGGTGTGGTCCTCAACAAGGAAGTCTGGTCTCCAGGAGCCCAGGCGTTCTGCAAATGGAGGAAGATTACCGAGCAAGACTTGCTGGTCGAGCCACTATATTGTTCAGCAGATCAAATTAGATGGACAATTAATTGAGGCCAGGTTTTGTGGAGTGACATACCTTGAGCAGCTCTTCTTCATCTTTCTCTAGAGGCATCCTCTCAGGGAACCGCGCCTCAGCATCAGAGAACCACCGGGGCACGATATTCTTGAGGGCCTTGACCAGTGCCTCGTGGAGAAGCTCCATTTGTTGCTGGTGATGCTTGCCAATAAGAATAGGTCGTGGGCAGCCAGCCTTGTAGGAGCCATTATGCCAGAGATGCTCAGGGCAGAGGCCCAGAAGGGTATCCTTCAAGCTATCATGGTCCTGCTCGTAGCAAGAAGCATTGGTCTCGCTGATGCCTTTCTCAATAGGGACGTAGCCAAGAGGGCCTGCCCCAAGGCGAATCTGTTGCATCTGGGCAGTGGCAGCCATTGTGCAGAGTAGGTATGATCAAGTGAAATTAGAATTACGAAGGCAGCCTAGCGAGATCCCGGAGAAAGGAAGAGAGGTTGATGATTTGCTTGAATGATGTGTGATTCTGGGGTCTCTATTTAGACCTACACCTCAACACTCTAGATCGCCAATGCAGATGGGTGGGTAAGGAGGCAGGGGATGGGACATGGCTGGCTGCATAAAAGCGGCCTCTTCTGAGCTTTGGGCGCCAAGCTAGGTCTTGCCAGGATGCATCAAAGACATCCAATGGATTGAGGCCTACCGTATTATCTCAAAAAACTCGCATTCGTGGCACCCCAATTTTACCCTAGTTTTGCCCCGTTTATCCCAGTTGTACTCCTTACAATTGGACGCCCAGCAGTTAAGCTATACTCGAAATCTATTAGCAGTTACGAGTTTTTTGAGATAATACGGTATTACAGAGGAGCATGTGTGAGGCCTCGCGTTTCTTTTCTTTTCTTGTCCCGTGGCGTCGGCCTATAATGATGTCCCACAGCGTAAAGCCGGCACAAGAACCAAGCCGACGGAAATGAGAATGACTGCATGTCCCATGTTTTTCACTATTATGATGAGATTCGCTTTAATTCCCCTTTGAGAAATGAGTTGCCGATCTATAATAAAGCCATTGGAGTGCCCGTAGTTGGGCCAGTATCGGCACGTATTTACGCATACATCTATGACTGCCGTCTCTGATAGCTTCCCATTACATTTGATCGATCACTTCACTCCACTGTCAAAATGGATCGAATTGCTCGAAATCACCGCATGTCTACGCTTCTCAGAGCCCAAGCCTACGTCTCGAAACAAACCGTTGGCCCAAGTCTATCACGCATCTCCAGACTCTTGACACCCAGCCACGCCCGTTACTTTGCTACCGTTAAAACCAATGTCTCTGTGCCGCAAATAACGGCTCCGGACCTGATCTACGCCCAGAAGCCTGACCACGTCGATGAGATACATCACCAGCTTCAGCACCACGGCATCCTCAAAATCAGCCTCCAATTCGCAGACACATCGAGCACATACCTCAAGCATCTCCTCCGCAGTCTCCATGACCATCATGGGCACCAGCTGCCCATATCCCACAGCGCCAAGCGTGGGTGGTTCTGGGACGTCCGGCCGAATGAGACCACCTTCCAGGCAGGCAACCACCAGGCCCGTTCCGAGACCATGAACGAATTCCCGTGGCACACCGACTGCAGCTACGAGGACCCCCCGCCAAGATACTTCGCGCTCCAGGTCCTCCAGCACGACCGCTACGGCGGGGGCACCCTGTCCATCATGAACGTCGACAGGCTGAGCGCCCTCCTCTCGCCAGCCACGCGGGCCGCACTAGTCAGGCCAGAGTACCGGATCAGCATCCCCCCCGAGTTCATCAAGGACCCAGCCCAGAAGCATATCCTGGGAAGCGTCCTGCTGGGCGCTAATGCCGGTGGAGACGGTGGTGGCCGGGGGCGGCACGAGAGTACAAGGCCCGCTGTTATGCGGTTCAGGGAAGATATCCTGACGCCATTGAGCAGCGAGGCGTCTGCAGCTCTCGGCGAGCTGAAGGGCGCGCTGCGGAGTGCCGAGATTCAGGCCCAGTCGACGCTGCACCTCGTCGCTGAGGAGCTGCCCAAGGGGAGCATCATTCTCGTGGATAACCGCCGGTGGCTGCATGCGAGAAACCACATCAATGACCCCGAGCGTCATCTGCGCCGGGTCCGCTGGGATGCTGTCCCATTTTCCAGCTCTGACTGATTTAGATGATATCGTTGGGTGACAAAATTGACAGGGTATAAGAGACAGACAGGGTATAAAGATGTCTTAATGGTTATTGCTATGGGAAGGGTCTGGGTTGGGTGACTTGAAAGCCATAATTTGACAAGTAAAAATGAGCAATTGTTGACTTCACCTGAACAAAAGACATCATCAATAGTTCCAGACTCCCCATGCCGTGCTGACGCCAAGCTGATCCAGTAGACCGCCCATGCGAGGAGTCGATTGGATGCCACGACTGGCTGAGCTTCCCCGCTAAGAAACAACCAGCCACCTGTATACAGTAAGATTTGCATATCGTAGAGCCTAAAGCGTACACGTAGGGCCCCTAAGGCGGAATTCTCATCACGTATTCAGCGAGAGGAGAGGACATGGGGGCCCAAACGGGAACGAGCAGCGGCAACTTAGACACCTAGAGCAGCTGAGCTCTCTCAGCTCTCCTCTGCTGGGCGATCGTTGCCTCTACAGCCTGTCTTGGCGCGCCAGCAAATGATACTGGGTCCAAAAAGAAGAACCCTGGCCGCATCTGCGTCCACTGTAACTGAGAAGTGAGATTAGCTGCTGCACGACACTCGCCTGCAGCAGAGCTGAGAGAAAAGAAAGCCTACTAACTGCATGTCTCAGTCGAAAAGCCCCGAGTGCTCGTAATCGCCGATCCGTCCGAATTCCAGGAAACCAGTCTCGGATCAGGGGGACTGGCACCACAACCAAAACTTCCCGTGAATGTGCTAGTTCCACAGGCGTAATTCTCAGAGCATCTCGAGCTGATGTCATCCAAAGTGTAGCTGTGTGCGGTTACACATAGGAATTTTATTCATTAGGTTGAATTGTCGGGCCCTGGCTGTGGTTTGACAAGGGGCTGTACAGCAAAGCAAAGCAACGATTGAAGCAAACGAATGTGATGATGATTGATGAAAAAGCTAGCTGTTGGAAGGTTCCAACAAAGGTTCGTCTAAGTAGGCGTGCGATAACCGGCTTATCGATAGGTCGATAAGCCGTATAACGTGTCCACACTGGCAGCTTTCATTGCTGTTCAACTTTATTCTCTTTCTCTTCCATACCTACACATAGGAATATGGCCTTTCAACAAAGTTTTTCCCTGTCAGAGGTCTTGGCCGTCGCCAGGATTCATCCTTTCTACAACCATGAGGTAAAATATCCTCCCGGAGCAGATGACATCAAGGCAACTAGGCAGCATTTACTGGGGCGAAATGAAGAGGCCGATTTGCTTACCCAGCCTTTACTGTGGAAGCGGGATCTGTAAGATGCGCCCTGCATGGTTCTCGGTCTCCCATCTCTGACAGTGTTGCCCATCCAGCTACTCTGTGATCGGACGGCTCATAGCTGATCCAAGTCCCCTTAACACGTTCCGGCAGAGCGTGTACACGAGCACAACAGGCGGCGGATCGAATTCCAAGCCTTTGTTCTTCGCCACCGATGTGCACGAAAACCGTAACCACAGAGCAGCCTTCGGGCATTTTCTTCGGACTATCGGGCTCATCGAGAAAAGCGACTGGGTTCTGACCACCCACTCATCGGGTGAATTATATAGGTGGGTGTTCCATTCCCAGCCTGTGATACCTCAGTTGAGACAAAGGATGGTAGCTACTTGATGCCGGGGACCTTCTGGCTAACAGCTGCTAGGTCACTCGATCTCACATTGGAAATCCTGGAGAATGCGGGGGCTTCCGTCCTAGCAGCAGGTCACCACATGTCTCCTGCTGCTGTTGTGAAACTCTTGATACAGTACCACATCAATGTTTTGAGTGGCGACTCAAACCAGATTGTGTCCATGGTACACTACATCTCAACTCTGACGGCATCGGAACGTGACCAAGTCAAAATCAACAAAATCATTTACACCTCGGAAGGACTCTCGCCGTCACAGAGAGCACACATCCGAGTTGTTCTAGGACCCGAGGTCAGGATATGCTCTCTGCTAGGCAGCGCTGAGGGTGGCCCCTACGCCGCCAGCAGCCCATCCTTGATCGAAGCTCAGTCTACCGACACTGTGTCGTACCAAGACTTCGTAGTCGACAACCGGCTTACAAAGATTGAGATACTGCCTTCAACTGTATCGGAGGATGACGCAGATCAAACTCCTAAGCCATTGAAGAACGGAGAGCAGGGTGTCATCGCGCAAACCTCCTTCACACGGCTACGTAATCCCGTCGTGAGATATATTACTGGCGATGTTGGCTCCCTCCATAACCTACCAGAAAAGGCGCGTGCCATCATCCCAGAATCCGATTGGAAGCACATGTATATCCTCCGCCTGCAGGGTCGTGATCGTCGCTTCAGCTTTGAGTGGAACGGTTGCTACTTTGAGTTTCGTAACTTGGACGCACTGATGAACGATGCGCAGTTCGAAATCCTACAGTGGCAGGTCATCCTAGACAAGATGGAGCTCTCCAAGAACCGCCTCCTGGAGATCCGCATCCTTGCTCCTCAACGGGAGACGAATTCGAAACTTGACCGACGAGGCTTGATTGAGAATCGCATTCGGGGCTTCTTTCAGGTAGATGATGCGCACGGGGATGCCTTTCGACTTACTTTCGTCGATAGCATACATGGATTCGATCTCAGCACTGGTGGACGAAAAGTAGTCAAGTTTATCGACCGGTTCTCTTCATAGATCAAGTTTTAGTTGTCTAGTCAATGTATCCGGAACTTACACACATAAGATATGATAGCTCTTTGACTTCATTTAACAATCATTGGCCTTAAAGGTCCCAATAGAGTCCAAGAGTCCTGAGGGAAAATACAAAGCCTGCTAAGAGCTAGGCAGAACAGCAAGTGAAGGTCCAAGTGTTATTCCAACGAGTTCAACCTCATACATCTGACACAAGTGAGACTGAATGAACTCAACGAGCGAAACTCTACAACTCCCTTCCCAGCGGTGCTGTATATCTTTATCTGAGCCTCTCTGATATAAACCTGTCTTGGGTAAAAGCCAGGATATGCTACCCGAACATCATGTATTTAGCTGTAACCTCAGAGAAGTCTTTGCAAACGCTCGTCTCCTTCATATCGGTTGAGTGCATTTTCCCTCCATTCTTCCCACCTCTGGTCAATGCCAAAGACCGTGAGGATCGCGACTGCCAGTGGCTTAGAGTCTCCCCAGTCAGGCTCCAGCCCAAGACCCCAAAAGAACCGTCGCGCCTTTTCGTCCACCATATAATCTACCAGATGAGGTGGCAATTTCCCAAGCTCTCGTGCCAAGATCTGGTCGTTTTCTGTCAAGCCTACCTTGCCAGCACATAGATTGTTCATGCCAGTGGTGGCCAAGAATTCAGAGCGTGTCTATAAGAAGAAACTCCTTAAATGAACCAAGTCTTTCCAGAGATGTTAAGCTCCAGTTAACAGTTGGTGTTGGACCAATAACAACTACTACACCATTCTCACGAGCCTTCACAATTTTTGGAGCGTTGTGTGAGATCCCTACGATTGAACTTCATGCAATCGATTCATTCTTGGCTTTTCAGGCCGACCAGAACTATCTCCCCTCGTTCTAAGTGCCGAAGTAGGCATCAAATGAGTGGTCACCTAGTAGGGTTCTTGTTCGCCACCATCATACAAGTTACCTACCGGGATGCGAAGATGTTTATCCTGTCCAATGCTTGTAATCTTGTCAAAATCTTCTTCTCCCAGTTTGACGTTCAGCGCCGCGAAAAATTCCTCGACTCTTTCCTTCTTCTTGGTCGTGTTGAGCACAATTATTCCTTGACGCAGTTGCCAGGCGATGAGAATCGTACTCTTTGCCACTTTGTACTTCTCCGCCAACTCCTCCAACAATGGATCAAGATGGTTTCCCTTCAGCCAAGTAATGGGTGCAAGTCCCATGTAAGCAGCCGTCTTGATCCCATGCGACTCAAGCCACTTGGCGTACTCGGGCGCGCCTTGTAGGTATGGGTTGAATTGAATCTGATTGACCGTAGGCTTGATTTCTGCCGTCTTGAGCAAATTCTCAACGTGGTGCTTCCGGAAGTTGGAGATTCCGATAGAGCGCACTTTACCAGAGCGCTGAAGCTCCTCCATCAGCTTCCACACCTTGGCGACGTCAGATTCTACATAAGTGTCATTCTTCAGATATGGAGAATGCAGAAGAAAGCTTGATAGTGTTAGCCACATCGTTACAGTGTCGGTTCAGTCCATTTTACTCACAGATCTAGATAGTCGAGCTGCAGCCGCTTCAGACTATTCTCCAACGCCGTTGGGACATCCTCGATTTTGCCTTCGCTGAGCGAGTTGACAGTCTTGGTGACAACGAAGAGATCTTCACGGGGGACACCGCTCTCTTTGATGGCTTGCCCAAGTTCCCGCTCAGTGCCGTACGCCTCCGCCGTGTCGAGATGGCGGTAGCCCGCCGCAATGGCGTCCTTGGAAATAGTGACGGCGTCTGGGTTGTAAGCAGAGAAACGGTCGGGCTTGTACCAAGCAGTCCCGGTGCCAAAACCCAACTGCGACAGTCAGCTCCTGTATACAGTCTATAATTGGCCAGTGAAGATGGATTCATACCACGGGGATTTCGACTCCATCATAGAGCTTTACAGTGGGAATTTTGGGAGAAGAGGACATATCGACAAACACTAGATTGGGGTCTTTTGAGAGTCCAAATATAGGCTCAGAAGTGCCACCCTACCAAACATGGAACGGAGAGGAAGCGAAACTTATATCTAGGCAGACCTCGCCGAGAACTCCTGGGGCCTGCTGATCAGAAACTCCGCCAAAGGACCATGTAGCATAATTAGGCAAAAAGAGCCGACCTTCCCGAACAACCTAGAATGTGGAACCTGTATAACTTGGGGCATGCAACCTCTACCTAGCATAAGGTTACTATCATCTTGTCACCCCCCTGGATTTGAGCTGCCGAGCTGACAAGGGCAACTAATACGCTTGCAACAGGCTTAGTAACCAAGACTCATTGGTGTACGGTTTAGCGACTCACAGAAGCAAAGGCGTATATCCAAATTTGTCTTAATACACTGAAATCCTTAGCAACTACGTATACCTCTTCAGGGATCTACGCGACCCTAGCTAGTGTGATGCTTGGTCCCATGGGTGAATTATCATCCTCTATACGAATTATACTTCTTAACTCCACTCGCTGTTCGGCAATACCTCCTGAAGAAATGGCATTGGATGACATCTTTGCAATGTGGTGACATGCTCCGCACATCGAGCACATCGAGCTTACTAGGTTAGGTCTTCTCTCACCTTGTTTTTGTGTCAGCGAGCTCTATGGCCCAGCATTACATTGCTTTTGCAGAAAATCATCATACCATTTAACAGTAACAAGCGGGGCGCGAGCGTACATTCTACTGACATACATGGGGAAGTTCTCAGACCCAGATATTTCCAAGTTTCAGGCCAACCACTGGGAAACGGAGAGTTCGTGTAGACCGAAAGAAGAAGCAATCGACCAACTAGCTTACCTTTGGGCAGCCAAACCACGTTAGGAATCGGAGGAGGGCGTAGGCTAGGGCGGTAGATGGACACACCGCCGAATGTTCGTCTCGGCATCGGCTAATGGCTCCTCAAAGAGGGTTAGGATCATTTATTTCACATCCCATCTTCCTCTCTACTATCTTTTGTTGATAATGCAACTGGTTCTATTTTCATTTGGACTTCCGCACTAAACAAAGGGCTACCAAGGCGCTCGAATACGAAGCTACTAGAGAAACTATCTGGTTTGTTTATTTCTTCCAAATACTAGGCTTCTTTCTGTAATTCAAAGATATATATCAAACTACATTCCAGAATTTATCTCCACTACCTTGGGACACAATTCGAGTAGGCATGAACGTCATCACTTTCGAAATTCAAAGCTACTGCACCCGTTGTCTTTTGAATCTTTAGTTCTTACTGTATGATTGAGGGAGTTCTATCATTGTGATATATTCTGCGGATAGCATTCAGAATGTATGACGACAACGCTAATGGAGGAGGCCCGACATGCCACACTTCTCCTCACTCCAGTATCAAATAGACTGCCCGCAAATACTCACCGGTTCATAAGCAACAAAGAAGATGCGAATTTGAAACGTCATACACATCTTACCTTATCTGCAGTGACTACTCCATAGGGCAGTTCTTCATACAAATGATAGGTCTTCTCTGGTGAGAGGCGGCTTCACATGACAACGCCACTGGCTGCAGGAGGCCCTCCGTCTGAAACAAAGTCGGCCCAAAGAGCGAGAAGTGGAAATGATTTTCACTATACGATTATTGGACACTGCATAGGCAGAATGAGATAGCCCAAATCACTCATCTATAAAACGATGAGTTTGCAACAATTTCAAGTCAAGCCCATCTCTCTTCATAATCATCTAAGCACACAATACAAACAGACCTTCACAATTACAACAACCAAGCAACCAACTCATCTCAAATCATGCCTCAGAATCAGATGACCAAGGAGGACTCCTCCCGAATCCAGTCAACCCAGGTTTGTTCGCATGTCTTCCCCGGTCGAGTGCTTCGCTGACAATTATGGTACCATGCCAACAGGCGAAGTCAGGAGGCGACATGGGCTTTGCCTCACGTGCTCAATCTGCGGCTGATTCTAGAGCCAATAACAACAATTCTGGCGGTGGCGGAGGACAGTCCAAGGGAACCGATGCGACCATCAAGAAGAATTAATTCAAGCCACATGCAGGGTTTAGTAGGATTCTGCTGGTCAAGATTGACAACCTAGAACAAAGTTAGCCTAGACAGAATTTGATTTTGCTCTCCCTTTTTAACAAACGATAGATCCTTTCTTGTCGTATGTGCCATGATTGACTTCAAGCAAGCGTGGATCGCCCAATCCTACGGTAAACAATATATCCCTGTTTCACAAAATGAGAGCCTTTGCGAGCCGTATGTGACGGCTTGCCAACTCGTCGCTGTTGGCCTGACTTTTGAATTGTTGCATTGACGTAGGCTCCCCAACGTGAGCACCAGCACACATGTCTTCATTCAAGAAATTTCATTATCCTGAGCCTACTCATGACATGTATGGGGTTTGGTTGGCAGAATATCGTTGACTCAAAGTCACCGACTAAGATGTTTGAGCTTGTAACACTTCCCGCGGAAGCATTTGACATCATCGTCTGGCTGGCGGCTACCTTTTATTAAAAGGGCAAAATCGGTACAGAAGTTCGGGCGATCGGGCCTCAAGCCCAGAGCAACTTGGGATGAATCGAAATGGCACGATAAATGTGCGGTTTCAATGCAATCATGTTGGCTATTTTCATACAAATAGTTAGAGACAAAAACCTATGTTCCTCTAAAGCCTCTAACGGTTAAAACTAGGAGGGTCCGGTAGGCTCCCTCCACATTCATTCCCGTTCACCTAGTCTTGTTCGATGATCTCATACAACTTTTCAGTGTCAGGCAAGAAATTATGAGTAAGAGCGGCGCCATATCTAGGCCTTAATATGATGCGATATAGAGGTTCTCCAGGTGAATAGAATTAAGTGTTCTTCGCTTCAAAAGTTTTCTCCACTGCTCCTTCATTTGCCGCGATGGCCAGGTCCAATGAGCGACATCTATGCTTTTGCCAACGAGGCAACAAAGGAGAAAGCTATCTATCAACTTTCTGCTCTGCTTTGTTGGCACGTCAAAATTCGCCCTTCAACTCGACGTCCAATGGTCATGAAACATACGGTCTGATTAGGAACACGGAACGAAACAAATTCTAAAGCAACATGGATTTCGACTAGAAGGTTACAGTCATGACGTCGGTGTAGCCGACTTTTGGCTTCGGAGATTCGGCATCCGAGACTCAGTCAGCATTCGGAATTACCTAAGATGATCAAAAAAGGAACCGTGTCGAAAAGTTGACTCGTTACGGACTCCCTAAATGGTGGCCACCAATCGTCGCTGCTGCTCCCTGTCAAGTTGCGAGATTTGTGCGGCCACTAACAACGGGCCACGGGTAAGGAGGGTGACACTTGAGCCAACCTTAAGATGAAAGGGTCGGTATACAGGAACAGAATGCAACTGGGCTCCACATCGGTCAGGCAGGAAGCCAACGGGGAGCGGTCTGTGAAGACTCATATCTGTCTATCTGAACTCAGTTGAAGGGTCACGCGGTACTCGGGCCGGCTGACCTATTTTGATTTCCCGATGAACATGTCTTGGCTCAAACAGAACACGACGCTGATTCAACTGTCGACGGCAATTATAGCTCCATCAGATGATTCACGTATATGACGATATTGAGGGACATGTGCGGAGGTGGCAGGCAGGTGGCCACCGAGGCCGCACAAATCTCGCAAATTGCGTACTCGCCGCCCAATTAGCCCCAAGCTCCATCCACCCTCCAAAGACCGCTTCAGAACGCTGCCTGAACTGCATGCGTTATTATCGCCGTGAAATGTATCAGAAAGATGGCTTCTGTCGTCAAAATGGGCGGCCAGGCCCAACTTCGGTTTCGTTTGGCCGCCCTGACGATCTCTGTCTTACAAACTATCATACCAAACACAACCTTCATCCTCCATTCATAGCAAACTTAAAATATCATTATCACTGATTAAAAAGGAACAATATGCTTGTTCCATCAAAAGCTGTCGCAGGCGCGGCAAACCCTGTTACTACAACGACATTCCTCATCCCCAGCATCCACTGCTCGACATGTGCCTCCTTCATCGAAACACTCATCCGCCAAATCAATCCCAATACATCGGTCGAAACATCTATCATCTCGCATACCGTCTCCATCCGACATGATGGCAGCGCCGATATAAAGAAGATGGTCCGCGCCTTGGGCGATGCAGGGTATGAGGTAGACACTGTCGCAGTAGGCCCCGAAGCCCAGGCGAAGCTTCGATGCTCGTCCAAAGCAGCCCCGGCCGACGATGACTTTGCTCTTGGCCGGCTATTCACCAGTGTTCCAAAGCCATGGGGCTTCATTGGCCGGGCTAGACAAGAGAGAGCCCGGAGCCAACATGTGAACCACTGCAGCGAGTGTCGTTCAAAGCTTGTCTCGTCACCTCCCACAACGACACATGACGACAAGGAAGTTTCAGAAGAGAAAGGCGGCAGGCCTTTTGTTGTCATCGAATCCAGCTCTGCTCCACTGGACTTGTACCAGGCCACACTGACAATAGACGGGATGACCTGCAGTTCGTGCGTTGGCAACGTCACAGAGTCTCTACTATCGCAATCGTGGGTTGAGGCTGCCGATGTTGGTCTGCTCACGCGTTCAGCCACCGTACGCTTCCACGGCGGACCAGACAAGGCGCAGACTATCTCGGATATCATTGAAGATGCAGGATATGATGCGACCCTCGAACATGTTGAAAGAGTCATCTCAGATCACCCTCAGTCCACGTCCCGAGACGCTTCCTCCAACACTTGGCGTGCAGAGCTGTCCATCGGCGGCATGAGCTGCAGCTCATGTGTTGGCAGCATCACTCAGGCGGTTGAGGAACTCACATGGGTTGAGACCGTACATGTCAACCTTCTCACCAGCAGCGCGACCATTGTCTTCCAGGATCGATCCCATTTGGATGAACTTGTTTCCACAATCACTGATGCTGGGTATACGGCCAAGCTCAGTGATCTTGTCAACTTGAATGATGACACTACCAGTCAAGGCCAAGTGCGAACTGTACAAGTTCGCATCAACGGCATGTACTGCGAGCACTGCCCCGAAAGAGTTCTCGCAGCACTGGAAAATCATGCTTCTCAAGTCGATGTGGACGAAGCACCTTCGCTACAGAACCCAATCATGACGGTCTCGTACATTCCCAATGTACCAACCTTGACCATCCGCACGATTCTTGCTACTATTGCCGAGGCAGACGAGACTCTCAAACCAATCATCTACCATCCCCCTACCATTGAAGAGCGAGCCCAGCAAATGCAGGCCAGAAGCCGTAGAAGACTGCTCTTTCGCCTCCTCTTATCTGTTGCTGCTGCTATCCCAGGCCTGATCATCGGCATCGTGTTCATGACTCTTGTTTCAAAGGATGACCCCAACCGCATGTACCTCATGGAGAGGATAAACGGCGTGTCTCGCGGAGAGCTCGCCCTCCTGATCGCCTCAACACCAGTCTACTTCTTCAGCGCCGACATCTTCCATCGACGCGCCATCAAGGAAATCTACGCCATGTGGAAGCCGGGCAGCCACGTGCCATTATTACGACGCTTCTACCGCTTCGGCAGCATGGACATGCTCGTCTCCTTCGCCACTACGATTGCTTACTTTGCCTCTGTCGCAGAGCTCATCATCACGGCTACGAACCAGGACAGTCACCACCACATGCCGGAGAGGATGCCGTACTTTGACTCGGTCATCTTCCTCACCATGTTCCTTCTCGCCGGTCGCATGATTGAGGCGTACAGCAAGGCCAAGACCGGCGAGGCCGTCACCCAGCTGGGCAACCTACGGCCCAAGGAGGCTCTCCTTGTAACACCTTCTAGCCAGGACCAAGGCGATACTCAGCTGTCGACAGTGCCAGTGGACACACTCGAGTCCGGCGACTCGGTCGTAGTCGTCCACGGAGGCTCGCCACCCTGGGACGGCATCCTCCTCGACAGCACGGCCGACTTTGCCGAGTCAAGCCTCACGGGCGAGTCGAGACCCGTCCACAAGTCAATGGGCGACGAGATCTACTCCGGCACAATCAACAAGGGCGCCCCAATCACGATGCGCATCCACGGCGCGGCCGGCAAGTCACTCTTAGACAACATCATCCACGTCGTGAGGGAAGGCCAGTCCAAGCGCGCACCGATCGAGCGCGTCGCCGACACCGTGACGGGCTACTTCGTGCCGTTCGTGACGCTCGTCGCCATCGCCGTCTGGCTGACGTGGCTCGGCCTCGGCGTCTCGGGGAGGCTGCCTGACGACTACAAGGACACGCTGGTAGGCGGGTGGCCCTTTTGGTCGCTGCAGTTCGCCATCGCCGTCTTCGTCATCGCGTGCCCCTGCGGGATCGGGCTCGCTGCGCCGACTGCGCTGTTCGTCGGGGGCGGGCTCGCGGCCAGGCACGGGATCCTCGCCAAGGGTGGCGGGGAGGCGTTCCAGGAGGCCAGCGGGATCGACGTGATTGTGTTTGACAAGACGGGGACGCTCACCGAGGGTGGCGACTTGAAGCTCGTGGATCATGTGGTCCTTGTGGAGAGTGCTGAGAGATGGGGTGAGGATGCTTTGCTGGCGTATGTGGGTGAAGTAGAGAGGAATAGCAGTCACCCTCTGGGGAAAGCACTTGTCGACTTCTGTGAAGAGAAGGGTCTGAAGGGGAGCCCGCCGCAGCAGGTCGATGAGATGCCTGGAAAGGGAATGAAGGCAACCTTTTTAGATACGGAGAGCCTAAATAAGGTTGAGATCCTTGTCGGGAACGAAACATTGATGACAGATCACGGTGTCAAGTTCAGCCAAACAACCATCGACACACTGGACGGGTGGAAAGAACAAGCTAAGTCAGTAGTCTTGGTGGCTGCAAGAGATGTGAACGCAGATGACGAATGGGTTCCCGCCGCCATCTTCTCAGCCTCGGATCCCATCCGCCCTGAATCCAAGTCTGTAGTGGAAGCATTGCGCGCTCGGGGCGTGGATGTGTGGATGATCTCAGGAGACAACGCCAAAACAGCTCTGGCCGTAGGTGCCATGGTCGCCATCGAGCCGGACCACATCATCGCGGGGGTCTTGCCGGAACAAAAGGCCGACAAGATCAAGTATCTCCAAGGCAGCCAGCCGAAAAAACAAGGGGGCTTCCTCGCCAACCTCTCCGGTCGGACGCGGAGTCGGGCTGTGGTGGCGATGGTTGGCGATGGGGTCAACGACTCGCCAGCACTGACTGCTGCTGACGTGGGCATCGCCATTGGCGCAGGGTCCGATGTCGCCATCTCTGCTGCCGAGTTTGTGCTCATCAAATCCGACCTCAATTCGCTCCTGACTTTGGTTCAGCTCAGCCGGGCGGTCTTTAGGCGTGTCATGTTCAACTTTGCCTGGGCTGGCATCTATAACCTGGTAGCGCTGCCCATTGCCGCAGGTGTAATTTACCCTGTGAGGTCCAATGGGTCGTACACTCGGTTAGATCCAGTGTGGGCGAGTTTGGCCATGGCGTTGAGCAGCCTGAGCGTCATATGCAGCAGCCTGTTGCTGAGAACCACGCTTCCCTTGGTTGGTTTTCGAAACACGGTCGTCTCAGGCTCCTCTTCCAAGAACTGATGTAGTTGCAAACCTCAACCCAGAATGGGAAATATAACGGCCCTTTTCATTATTCATTAAATGTTAGCTGTAACCTACCTGGCCTGAGTGGAGGATTCTATGGCAACTTATTAGCTTATGTATCTACACATCTGATAGCATTCAAATGAACATATCAATAACCGCTCAATTGAAACCGCTGGACTTTCTCCATGGAACAACATGCTCAAGTGTTCAATGGCTGTGTTGATTTGTGTGATAACCCGAGGCGACTGGCTGGTATGAGGGAACAAAGATATTGTCCAGCAATCTATAACCGCCTTTTACCAAGCATAATGGGGAACAATGAGTTTTAAACTACTAGAGCCAACGTTTCTCCAATGGACAGTTAATTGACTCGTGGCTGAGGCTAAGGCAGGGAGGTAAATTGTTCACAAATTCCAAAACTTCATTCTCGCGATTGGCACATACCCTATACCATCAAACATACATACATCAAGTGATACACCTAAGCTTCCTTTTGTTTTTTGACGTGAATATAGATTGGGTATAACATTCAAGTACTAGTTTACATATGTGAGAGGTTAGACCTTATTTGATTTCTTTTTTTTTAAGTTAAAGTATTTTACTTGAAGGGGTTGATGGATCCATGTAATGAATTCTCTTTTGCTTCAGACAAAGTGAGTCGTCTTCTCTGAACAATTCAGTATGTCTTAACTACCCTATACAAACCACCCCCTTCTTTACCGAAGTCTCATTTCTGACCACCTCTTCTGTGGGTTTATTTTGCCACCAACAAAGTACTCGCCGCCGAAACGGCACGGGCTCTGTTTTGCATCGACCTTGTTCTGAAACACAGACATGAAACCGAGAACTCATCGCCTTTGCCACCTCTGAGCCGCAAAGGGACCTATTTCTCACACGACTACGAAAAATACGAATGAATCAGGCTCCTGGTAGGTTGCTCGCAGAGTCGACCCTTTCCAGTATCAATATGCGCCAGGAGGATAATCTCGGCCACTCACGCGACCGTTCCCCAACGAGCCTAGTCCTTGCGGTGGCATAAATTATACACAGGCATGCTTGTCGATCGGTCTCCTCTATGTATGCTGTGTCTACGGAGTGCTCAGTGTTGCTTCCAAGGGTCGCTTCGCGGTTGACTGGCCAATCCGGAGGGATCAGATTGATGGAATTGAACTCCCCTAAGCGGAAAGCAATTTTTTTCTCAGTTGGAGCGTGGGGGAGAGTTTGATTGCATTAATTATTGATGCACAGGCGACTTCCGAATGCAGACGTACCCATTATGCACTGACGATGTTCATTTCGATGGCTCTGTTTGCCCTCCTATTCCATGGTAGTCTGCATAACTTTCACCGATGACAAGGAGATAGATCCCGTCTTCTCGATTCAAGATAGTTAGTTTGCATGGCTCTTCAGTAGACTGGATGGGAGAAGCGCTATGAGATTAAGGGGTCAGGGAGAATAGTTTTCCCATCGGCGATGAAAGACGAGCTGCTGCCAAATAAAGCACATTCGGCTCCGACTTACGTACTCATTGATTAGTACCAGGATTACCCATTATTACGTCGAGCAGCACGTCCTGACTAAGAAGTGACCGGATGATGGTGGGCCAAATCCGGTCTTTGCAAATGGGGGTTCAGCCGGCAGAAGCGTGAAATGGAAAAGGTTGTGCAATTGAACACAAGGGAGGAATCAGCCTCAAGTATTTTAAGCGATAGACGCCCATCACTGGTCTGTTCCGGACGAACTGCTGATATTTTTAGGTCTTCTGTTTGGCCTTGTGTTCAATGTTGGTTGTGAAGCAGCACCAGCGGGTTACTGTGCCGCTGAATAATATTCCTAATAATAAATTACAGCCTGCTGAGTTGGGCACTTGTGCTGCAGCTCGCAAGCACTGATTCTGCTGATCATTCACGCACCAACTCTGTAGCACATGCTCGGCTCGTGCGGTGCCTGCAAGATGCCACCAGGGAAGCAAGCCAACGTGGACTGGATGTGCCGGCTTTTTAATGGTGGATTCGCGAGGATTTGATTGATGGATTGATGGACTGATGGACTGATTGAATCGGTAGGTGTTCGTCAGCGTGTAAATTAATCAAACAATCCCCTGCAAGGTCCTGCTTCCTTCTATCGCAGCCCATGACGCGCGGTCTGTCCCATGTCCCTGGAGAGCTTCTGGACCAGGCGAGGTGATTGACGCCTCGCCAACAATTGAATTTTTCGACATGTGAGTCTCGTGTCTGCATTCATGATGTTGGTGGTGGTTTGCTCTGGAGGGCAACCAACAGCATCTGGCGTGAGACGGCACTGGAACTTTGGCTCTAGGTGGTGGAGATGGACTGCTTCTGTAAATACTCACTGAGAAATACATCCACATCCTTGTCAGCAGTGACCACTGCCGTAAAGCCCGGTTCCATGGTTTGGATCGATGGAAGACATCCATGGATAGCGCTGGGCTTGTCCTCTAGCGTCTGACCAACGGCCTGGGGCATCTTAGTGTGGCATCAATGATAGCATGAATTAGTTAGCATAACACTGGCGAGGCTCAGGCAGACAGTTGAACTAATGGCGGAGTCTGCAGGGCTATTTTTGGACTTGGGTGGGAGGCTGGAACACTTCTGGATCAGCCGTGGCCCACAGCAACACCATCCTCGAGGACAAGCTGGCTTCTTCTTCATCCCAAACGTGCAGGCGAGTGCAGCAGCTTGCGGCCACGGTCCACTTGGTTCGTCCGTCGCGATCCATGTTTCTATATTTGCCACCTGGTGAGATCTTCTGCTTCACACAGCACTTTGGATCATGCACGCGAGGGACCGCCGAGTTAGGCTTGTCCACTGTTGGTGCTAGCACGGTGTTACTAACGAGAGAGGCATTGCTTTGCCATTGCTGTTGGTGGTGATAGATAGCTGTTGGTATGTCAGACAAGTGCTACGACTTTGGGTGTATGTTATGCGAGCTGCGGCGACTAAAGGGGGTCAGATCGTAAGCACAAGACAACCAGACAGCCGATTACAGGCAGCCCCCAGCAGGCCAATTGCTGGTGGCGAGCCTCCAAATCGCCACGGTGAAGCATCACGTCGCCCTGAGCAGAGTGCAGACAGGGCATCCTCGGATGGTTGAGGCTCGAATCTTCCAGTCTGTGCCATCATTGGATCAGCATGAAGCTCGCGCGTGGCCAGAATAGAAATCAAGGGCCAACCTGCCGCATCCATGCATGGTTCCTTGCCAAGCCTGGAGGATCCAACAGCCCAGGATCATCCATGGGTCAGTTTTATTACGTGATGTCAGGGTCCGCGCCGCACACCACTCCGAAATAACGGTCGTTGAGCGCGTGCAAGTGTCGCGATTGGCAGGCCGCCGCTCTTTCCGAGCTATTTGGAGATGCTGGGATAATAAAGCTGTCGCACAAGTGGGAATCCTTCCGGGGGGAGCCTGCGTCAACCTGCGACATGGCATCTGATACGCCCAAGATCGTGGCCCATGCCAGAGCCTTCCTGCTTCCCCATTCTCACCACCTCGACGGGGTATAATAGAGCTGATTCCCGCCCGGCAGTGGAAGAAGTCTTTCTTGCTCCGTAGGCCATCTGCCCTCTTTCCCTTTCCTTCTTTTCGAGTTCTAGTACCAACTGACTCTACCACTCCTTCGAGTAGCAGTTGATTGGAAGACCCCACCCTCTCTTCCTCTCTGACTACTAGCTTTCTTTTGTTTCTGGTTTTCTTCCCTATCTTAACCCTGTACTGGTGTTGTTTCACCGACAATGCCTTCTCTCAAGACCGTAGTTTTCGGTCTGGGAGCCTCCCTGGTGGCCTTGGCCGCCGCGGAGGAGCCCAACCTAGCTCCCAGAATCCCTACTCCCGTCCCCTTCCTTCCGGTGCGCTCATGCACCGGCACTCTCGAGGCCTGCCCCGGCATTCCTCGATCTGAGGTTGAGGAGGGCGGCGACCTGGCTAAGCGCGATGCTCCCATCGAGCCTCGTGAGTACCTCGCTCCACGTGGTGGATGCGAGGCCGCCGGCGAGGTCTGCTACGGATACGACAAGCGCGAGCTTGAGGTCCTCCGAGATGCCATCAAGGAAGAACTTAGCAAGAGAATGACCACCGAGTCCATGTTCGTGGACGAGCGCAGTGAAGACGACAAGGAGAACATTGGTTTTACTAAGCGAGATATCGCCGGCTGGATGTCCAACGTCAAGCGGGATATCGAGGAACGCACCGAGGAAGCTGTGGAACTTGCCGAGCGCGGAGAAGAAGAGGATCTGGACGAACGTGACTTCGATGACGAGCTCTTTGAGCGCGACTTCGATGATGAGGATCTTCTCTTTGAGCGTGAATTCGATGATGAGCTTTTTGAACGATACTTCGACGAGGATGACCTCTTTGAGCGCGACTTTGACGACGAGGAGCTTCTCTTTGAGCGTGACTTCGACGATGAACTGTACGAGCGTGACTTCGACGAGGATGTCTACGCCCGCGACTTCGACGACGAGCTGTTTGAGCGTGATTTCCTCGACCAGGTCAAGGAAGAACTCGCCCTCCGATCCCTCGATGAGGATGACCTCCTCCTCGAGCGTGACTTTGACGATGAGGAGGCCTACATTGCCAAGCGCGAGTTCCTGATTGACTCCATCAAGGATGAGCTTGCCCGCCGTTCGTACGAGGACGATCTCTTCGAACGTGACTTTGATGAGGACTACCTCTTCGAGCGCGATTTCGACGATGAGCTCTACGAGCGTGACTTCGACGACGAGCTTTACGAGCGCGACTTTGATGACGAGCTGTACGAGCGTGATTTCTACGATGAGCTTGAGGAGCGCGACTTCTACGAAGACGATCTCTATGAGCGTGACTTCGACGACGAGCTCTACGAACGTGATTTCGATGATGAACTCTTCGAGCGCGATTTCGACGAGGACTACCTCTACGAGCGTGACTTCGATGATGAACTCTACGAGCGGGATTTCGATGACGAGCTTTACGAGCGCGACTTTGATGATGAGCTCTATGAACGCGATTTCGAAGATGATCTTTATGCTCGTGACTTCGATGAGGACTACTTGTACGAGCGTGATTTCGACGATGAACTCTTCGAGCGCGATTTCGATGACGAACTCTATAAGCGTGACTTCGAAGATGAGCTCTACACTCGTGACTTCGATGAGGACTATTTGTATGAACGCGATTTCGATGACGAGCTCTACGAGCGAGACTTCGACGAGGACCTCTATGAGCGCGATTTTGAGGATGATCTGTATGAGCGCGATTTCGACGACGAGCTCTACGCCCGTGACTTCGAGGAGGATTATCTCTATGAGCGCGACTTCGATGATGAGCTCTACACTCGTGACTTCGATGAAGACTACCTGTATGAGCGCGACTTTGACGACGAGCTCTACGAGCGCGACCTAGACGAGGCAGAGCTCTACCAGCGTGATGTTCTCGACGCTGTCCGTAGCGAACTTGAGCGCCGCGACTTCGAAGAGGAAGCCTATGGTCTTTACGCCCGCGATGAGGATCTTTACGAGCGCGAGATTCTCGAAGCCGTTGAGGAACACTTTGCCCGTGCCCTTGAGGATGACCTCGAGGAGCGTGACTTCGACGATGAGGACTACCTGTATGCTCGCGACTTCGATGAGGACTACCTCTATGAGCGAGACTTTGATGACGAACTCTACGAGCGTGATTTCGATGACGAGCTCTACGAACGCGATTTCGAAGATGAACTCTACGAGCGTGACTTTGACGATGAGCTCTATGAGCGAGACTTTGACGATGAGCTCTATGAGCGAGACTTCGACGACGAGCTGTTTGAACGTGACTTCGATGACGAGCTTTACGAGCGCGACTTCGAGGACGAGCTCTATGCACGTGACTTCGATGATGAACTCTATGAGCGAGACTTCGATGACGAGCTGTTCGAACGTGACTTCGAAGAGGATTACCTGTATGAACGCGACTTCGATGATGAGTTGTTCGAGCGTGAGTTCGATGATGAACTCTTCGAGCGCGACTTCGAGGACGAGCTGTTCGAACGTGACTTCGACGATGAACTCTATGAGCGAGACTTCGATGATGAGCTGTTCGAACGTGATGCCGAAGAGGATTACTTGTACGAACGCGACTTCGATGACGAGCTGTTCGAGCGTGATGAGGAGGATCTGTATGAGCGTGACTTCGAAGATGAGCTCTATGAGCGCGACTTTGATGACGAGCTTTTCGAGCGTGACTTCGATGATGAGCTCTACGAGCGCGACTTCGACGATGAGCTGTATGAGCGCGATGAGGACGACCTCTGGGAGCGTGACTACGAGGAGGATCTCTTCGAGCGCGATGAGTTCGATGAGGACCTTTTTGAGCGCGACTTTGACGAGGACTACCTTTTTGAGCGCGATTTTGATGACGATCTCTATGAGCGTGACTTCGAGGATGAGCTTTTCGAGCGCGAGTTCGACGACGAGCTGTACGAGCGTGATGAGGATGATCTCTTCGAGCGTGAGTTCGACGATGAGCTCTTTGAGCGCGATGAGGTGCCCGAGAAGCGTGAGGAGTCCGACTTCGTCAAGCGCGAGGAGGAGGAGTTTGCCAAGCGCGAGGAGATGGACCAGGCCAAGCGTGCTGAGGAGGAATCTGTCGAGGTGAAGCGTGATATTGAGCAGGAGCAGGTGGTAGAACGTGATGAGGCCCAGAAGGATGATGCCGCATAGAGATTCATCCCCCACTAAACTAAATTTCCTTTCTTTCCTGTCATAAATAGCTGGCGACTTTATTTATTTATCATACCGGTGGTACAATTGTACACTGAGTTTTCCCACTTCTCTTCTCAATGCTGTGATATCGAGTGACTTGTTGATTATATTTATGACTTGTTCGCTCCAGTGAGAGATCACTGAACTCAGAATGCGTAGAGGGGCAGTCTTGTGGCTGCTTGAGAACGGAGGTGAGGCCTAAGTTAGGCTTGGTGATCGCTTCACGACTGCTTTATGCGTTGCCTTATTATAGGACCACAGCCATATTAGTTGATCATAAAACTTAGTGAGCAGAGTGCTATGCTAGGTAGAGACATATCATTGATACTTGAAGTTTATTTTATCCCAGGTAAATATCTAGAGGCGTGATTTGCCCGCGGTCGCCTTTTCTACGGCAAACTTCCTCCTGTTGTCCTCATCCTGCACTAGATCTAAGGGCAATTCTACTCTCCTTGCTCTCAAGAACTCCCCTATACTCTTTCCAAACCCATCCAAGACACTACTGCTACTCACACCTTCTTGGAGGATGCCTTTGATGACGAAGTGTATCGCCCGCAAATGAGGGAACTCGCACCGCTCAACAGTGTACCTGTCATCCCAATCATCTGCAAGTAGCTCGACCAACTTGGCAGAAGTCAGGAACTTTCTTGCCCAAGGGTAGGCCTTCTCTGAGCGTACCCAGAAACCAACATTTGCGTTACCTCCCTTGTCACCACTGCGGGCAAAGAGAAGATCACCTAGTGGCCTTACGACCATCGCATTGCTTGTATCTAACACAGAAGGATGCGACTGTTCTGGGCTTGGTAACGAAGTAATAGATCTGATTGGCGTTCCTTTCCGTGAAGGAACAGCAAAGACCTCCCCAGACACAAACTTGACAGAGAGATCTGGCAGAGAGTTTCGGCTGATCAATGCAGGGAAATACTTGACATAAGGCTTCGGCTCCATGGTTCTCCAATCCATTCCAAGATGTAGCCCGCAATATCCCTGCATTCCATTGTAGAAGATTGCCCTTCGAAACTGGGAGAACGCCTCTTTGTTGGGGCTCTGGGCAAACATGCGAATCTGAACTGTACACTCTTTTTGAGATCGCGGATCGGGGAGAGAGCTGCCATACTTTTCGATGCTGAAGATTGAAAAGTCTGCCATGTTCACTCGCCCCAGGACCTGACTTTTCATGAGATTGAACTTGAAATCTGTGTCGAGTCCAGCAGCATAGGCAGATATCTCGGCTTGATAACCGCCGAGTTGGCAAATAGCCACCTTGGATGTTTCTGGGGGAGGAAGCCCAGTTATCCCCGATAGCTTTACACGGCTGGGGCCGACCTGCTCCAGCTTCGCTTGCCCAATGAAGGCCGTCACGTCTGGGTTTAGATACCGTTGGCCTTGAATCTCGTAGAGGAGTTGAGCGGTGCATGTGTCGACCGTCACCGCGCCATTGGATCCATCAGATTTGGTGATGACCGTGGTTCCATCGCAGGAGATTTCCGCAATGGGATATCCGACATGATGGAGTTCAGGAACTTCCCTCGCGCCACAGTAATTCCCGCCAGTCACATAAGCACCGCATTCGATCAGATGGCCGGCCATGAGACTTCCAGCCAGAGGATCGTAGTCTGAGGGGCCCCAGCCGTGCCACCAAGTCGCCAGACCCATGACGGGGGAGGCATCGCAGCATCGCCCGCATATCACGATATCTGCACCAGCTTCCAGCGCTTTCACAATGCCTTCCTGGCCTGTGTAAACGTTTGCTGCAAGTGTAGGTGCCTCGTCGCTGTTGCTGAATGTGACATCCTTCTGGTCGAGATGCCGAAGACCAACCAGCTTGTTGCTTTTGACCTGCTCGGTGACATTGTCTCCCTCAATCCAGGCTACTTTGACGTCTGAGATACCCAAGGACTTGAAGTATTCGTCTACTTTCTTAGCCAAGCCCTTGGGATTCAAAGCACCGCCGTCATGGACCACCTTCACCTTGTTGCGGGCGACTGCTTTCGCGCCGGCCCCATTCTCCCACGCAAGCTGTTCTAGAAAGTTGGGTTCATACCCAAGCTCTAGATTTGTCTGCAACTCGATGGCCTTCCAGGCAATGTTGAACTCAGCGAGGTAATCGGCAGTGATGGCATCCACATCGCCGGACGAAGCAAGGCGGAAGACTTGGTCTATTCCATCACCGATCGCCCCTGACGCATTTCCAATTCGAATCGGACGCCGGGGTCTCTCTTGTTGACTGGATGCCATTTTGATGTATTGTATTGTGTTTATTTTGGGAAGTGACAATAGCTTTGGTAACAATCTACGATTGTTGACTTGCAACTCAGCCCAAGACGATATTCTGAATGATCAGTGATCAAGCCGGTTCAATCTCGACCTCAACCCGCAAGAGACCGGATTTTCCCCCGCATAGGAATCCATGGTCCAAGAATTCAAACATTTGAGTCGGCCCGGAGCTACAACGAGTAATTGAATTGGGCTGATGGGGGGCACAACCCTGGCACGAAGCTACTGATTCAGACCCCCATGAGACCCGGATTCGATCTTCCGGACGTGTCCTGCCATGAACCTTCTCCAACCAAACTAAACATACTCGGCTGAGTTTTTCCAGCAACTTAACAGGGCTCGAACTAGTCATTTCGTAGACTGGCCTTAGTGAACTATTGCCGTAAGACCACGCCTGGGGTGTACTAATGGATGGCCTCGTGAGAGGTCAATACATTGTAGCCCCCATATGATGCATTGTGTTGAAGCCAGTGAATGAATTCGTAACTATTCACATGTGACATCAGTTTCACTCAAGTTATTTGCAGTCTCATAGATCAAAATGAGAATCTACAATCAAGAGCGGAAACTGCATGTCCCTCGAGATGTCAACCTCACGGAACTCCTCCATAAAACGCACAAAGACCTTCCTCTATCACATATCATTGCATCCGATAGTCTGACAAACAGAAGTATCACTCTTGGACAGCTCAGAGATCGTGCAGGCCGTCTTGCTCAAGGCTTTTCACAGACTTTCTGTCCTCCCGACCAGTCTCGCTGGGCTATTATTCTACCCAATAGCGTTGACTTCTTGGAGCTGGTGCATGCAGTTATTTGGACGGGAGGCGTTGCTTGTCCAATTAATCATGCCTTAAAATCAACTGAGATTGGCCATGGCTTGGCCGTTTGCCAACCGGCATTTATCGTCGCATATGGCCAGATTTTAAGCAGCGTGGAGGAGGCAATCGCCGTTGCCCGCGACGAGCTTGTGAGAGAAGGAATTGAGTGGGCAGCTCCCAAGGTCATTACAATAATTGAAAAGCCGGCTTCATCAACACTGCAGCACATTCCAGCCGACTTTCTCTCAGACACGTCGCTCCCAATCCCTCACTTCGAGGACAATGCAGCTCGGGTAGCGACAATACATCTGTCTTCTGGGACAACGGGGAAGCCGAAGGGGGTGATGCTCACACATCGAAATTTCATCGCCAATGTCTTCCAGCTTCTGGCTCACGACTCCTCTCAATTTCACTCTGCCTCCAGAACTGTTGCTTTCACACCATGGGCGCACATCGCGATGACCACAATGCCGCTCTTCCTGTCCCCGTATACCGGCATGTTTCATCACGCGATGCCTCAATACAACCTAGAGAAGTTCGCGCAGCTTGTAAGCTCCGTTCAGGCGACGAGCTTTCAAGGCGTGCCTTCAGTAGTGTTGAGCCTGGCAAAAAGCGACGTGACTGATCGTTATGACTTCTCCAGAGCTTCCATTCTGAATGTGGGAGGAGCGCCATTGAAGAAAGCAGATCTTGCAAAACTCATGAGCCGAGCGCCGTGGAGGCTCATACAGGCGTATGGAATGACAGAAGCTGCGGGATACGTCGCATACCAGACATTTGACGAAACTCTACCAGACGGGTGCACTGGGAAGATGCTCCCAGGAATTGAAGCCCGGCTCATGGTTGAGGGGAAGAATGAGGAAGCCCCAGAAGGCGGACCGGGCGAGTTATGGCTCCGAGGGCCCAATATCACGAGCGGATATGTGTTCAATGAAGAGGCAAACCAGAAGGCATTCCCCGAACCAGGTTGGTACAATACAGGAGATGTCTGCAAGATTGACTCTCAGGGCCGTCTGTTCATCGTAGGACGGACAAAGGATTTGATCAAGTACAAAGGCTTCCAAGTATCACCCCAGGAACTGGAATCGTATTTGAATTCTCATCCGCTGGTTTCAGAAGCTGGAGTGGCCGCATTGTGGGACGAGTCACAACTGACTGAGCTTCCAACTGCATGGGTCATTCTCAAGCCAGATTCCGCCAAGAGTAGCTCCAAAGAGAGAAGAAATGCTCTCAAAACAATACAAATAGCCATAGATTCACAGGTTAGTGGTTACAAGAAGCTTCGGGGTGGAGTCTGGGAGGTATCGAGGCTCCCCAAGAACGCAACGGGCAAGATTCTCCGCAAAGAAATGGCTGAGATGAGAGCAGGGCTTTGTTCCATTGATGAGACAATCTACTCAAAATTGTAACCTAGAATGGATAAACTTTGAGGCTAGCAGAAATTGAAAAAAGGAGAGTATTTTTTGGAAAATTAGTTGTGTCAAAGAAAGCAAGCTTCGCACCTTGGAAGTCATTAAGCAACATAATTTAGGAGGCATCGTCTACAAGAGGCTCGTTATGAATAGCGAGTGATTTATTTTGTCTTACTTGCTACTTTGATGTCATTCGCTCTAATGGTCAATGGGAGTTTAGGAATTACAATGCCATTGACCTAAAAGGGTCCAAGGCATCAACCCCAACCGCGGCCCAATAAATCGGCCAACTTCACGCGGAGATAAAGTTTCACCCTCTTCCCTTGTCTTTCTTGCCCTGACCCCCACCCTCCCCTCCCTTCTCGGCCTGCACTTCTTCTCAAACTACTTCCTTACAGATTCAACTCCCTAAAGCACAATACAACCATGTCGGATGAATTAGTCGTCATTGCTCGCCTTCTCACTCCTGGTGGAGAAGTCCGCGACCAGGTATGAGAAGTTGAAGCCCACAGCTACTCTCATGGTTCAATCCTCACATGAAACAGGTCATCGAACGCCTCAAGAAGATCGCCCAAGAAGCCCACGATGCGGAGCCCAGCACCACCGTTTACGCGATATTTATCCCCCGAGAGGACGATGGAACAACAATCTTCGTCGCTGAATGGTTTGGAAAACGCATATGCTTTGGAGCCGAGTCTGATAGCTGATTGACTGTGAGCAGGTACAAAGACCAGGCAGCGTTTGATTTGCACATGAAGTCGCAGTCGGTCAAGGAGATTCTGGACTGGGCACCGTCGATTCCCTTCTTTGCGACGAACCCTCCTCACCTGACTCTACAGCCTGTGTCCAAGGAGTTCTCCTTCTCCAGGCCTACGGCAGCCACACAATCTGATCCGCACGTAATTATCGCCGAACTCGACTACGTTCCTGGCGGTGTCGAGACTTCAGTTCCTTATTGGAAGGCTGTGGTTGATACGGGCAGAGATAAGGAGGACGGGACATTACTTTATGGACTCTTGAAGGACCCGAAGGCGGAGAACAAGTTGTATACATTCGAGGCGTACGAAAGCCCCGAGTATTTGAAGTCGGTCCATGTGCCAAGTGATGCGGTCGCAGAAAACATCAAGAACACTAAACATTTGAGAACTGGGCTGAAGCACAATGTCTTGAAGATGATTGGAGGCTACTTGTACAAACAGTGATAGATAGATGTCTCTTCTCATTAAATGTAGTTATTGAATTCTAGATCCGCCAATAAACTTGCTATGAATACTAAGAATAATCTAAGCTATCATCCTTGACCATTTGCGACCGTTACTGCCTGCTGTTTCCAAGACTTAGCCTCTGCACTGTCTCACACCTTTCACTTAACAATCAGATTAGCCGAAAGAACTGTACTTGGCGCGGTAACTTTGGTACGCTTGTCGCGAGAACAAACTGGTGGTGTGAAACAACCCCGCATCTTCCGGCGAGGATATCTTCATCCCCAACACGCATCTGGACACTCCCATGAGTCATTAGCCTTGGAGACACCATCCTGCATAATACACCACCATGAATCAGCAACCCTGCAATACCAATAGTTTCTCGTGTTTTGCCACGGATCGTTGAGCTTGGAAATATGTGTCTAATTGCTCTCATAACTCCGAAGATGACCTCGCCTAGTGGTGGCAACTAGTCACCCTCCCTGGCTGAATCAATGCATGCCATGCGGAAACTGGTATCGATACCCGGATTATGTGATTGATGCAGCTTTGGGTCCTATGGTTGATGATCAATCACCCTTGTGGCATTGAGATGGACCACACGAATAATGTAGACTTCCACGAGCAAGGTATATAGTACCTGCGGTAACTAGAAGACCCTGGATCTAGAATTGAAGATTTGGTTAACACTATCCATCCCAAGCCATTCTCACCCACACCCCCAAGCATGGCTCCCTCCGCTATCAGCGTTACTAGCAATGGAGGCAACGACGGGCACTTTGAGCTCGGAGTTCCCTCCAACCGGCCCATCCGCATCGCTGGATGCTCGGGAGGTAAGTGCTAAACACTACTAACTCTAATGAATACTTGTGGCTAACGGATGGCTGCAGGCGTATACGATCGCAAACGCGCCATGGAAGACATGGCCAAGAACGAAGAGGTCGACGTCATCACCGGTGACTGGATGTCAGAATGCAACATGACGCTCCGCGGCTCCGACAAGCGAGACAGGCTGGCCAACCGCGAGATGGCGACCGGCTCGTCTGTCGTCGCAAAGGGATACGAGCCCTACTTCCTTGAGGAGGTTGACCCGGCCATCCCGTGGTTGGCGAAGAAGGGCACGAAGCTGGCGGTGAATGCCGGTGCGAGCGATGTGCACGGTCTCGCCGTTGCCGTCAAGGAGCTGATCAAGAAGCACGGCGTTGACCTCAAGGTCGGTGTTGTCGATGGTGACGACGTGACTGATGCCGTGTTGGACCTGTACAAGAAGGGGGAGCCGTTCTACAATCTCCCCGCTAACAAGTCTATCCATGAATGGGGATTTGAGCCTGTCTGTGCACAGTGTTATCTCGGCGGCACCGGAATTGCTGAATGCTTCCGGGGTGGTGCTGATATTGTGCTCTGTGGCCGTGTAGCAGATGCCTCTGTCACTGTAGGAGCAGCAATGTGGTGGTGGGGATGGAACCGTGAAGACCACATCACAGAGCTCGCAGGGACTCTGATGGTCGGTCATATCATTGAGTGCT